CTCAAAAAGAGGGGAAGATTATTTCTCTCATTCCTTTTTTAAACCTACATTCTGTCTATTTACTAAGTCTAAGTGTAATATTCAGGGGTAGACGGTTAGACAGTGAAAGGGTGGAACTGAGATGCCAACCTAGTAGCACGTTTAAATTCATGCAGTTTGGGAACCAGCGAAAGTAGTTCGTTGGAGTAGTTACTGTGAGAGTATTTATAGAAAAGACAGAGGAAGGCGACGGCACATCTGTGAGAGAGCAACTGTAAACGAGATGCCAGATCAGAGTCAATCATATAAATGTAGCTGTCTCTTCTACTCCAATAGCTTTATGTCTCGCACTTCCCGTCTGTGAAACTCCATTCTTCTTACTTGCTTCCCTTCTCCAAATATTCATTTGCAATGTCAATCGACATCTCCAGATCCCTTGATCTATTCCCACTCCTTCTCTTCATCCTTTTCTCAATCACATCTCTTTACTCTTGCTCCCACTCTCTGTAACCCCTTGTGTGCTAGTGACACTCCCGCCTAGCTTGGGATGAAATACTTAAAAAAAAAAAAAAGAAAGAAAGAACATTTCTTATATTAATCTTCCTACTGGGGTGTCATACCTGAACGTACCTATTCTATTATTAATAGACTCTCCCACACATAATAAGTAGTAGTAGTAGTAGTAGCGGTCGCCAGTTGGGCTCAGTGGTGTTGAGTGAGTCAATCGATGTCGGACATTGAAGTATCAACCATCACAACTAGATTGCTGCGTCATTAACTCTTATTTCAAGTTCCTAACGTTTTGTACGTCGGACCCTTATAGGACCGACTTAGCGAAATACAAGCCTCCACTGTGAAAACAACTCTACAACATGGGGAGAGCCTGTTTCCTAGAAAATCGACATTCTGTATTTAACCTATACTCGGTCATTAACCCTTTGAGCCCTGACCACCGCTTTACCGATGAAAAATCACTTAATGCCCAGTCACCAGTTGAACGGTGTGTAAACACTTGCGTCGTGTTTTGCTATTGGTTGTCTTATTTAGGAAGATTGGGACACAAAGAAAGAAATTCTGGCGATAAAGTGAAAGCATGCAATCATACTCTCTCCCAGCTAAGTATAATGTTTATATTTTTTGTAACTATTTTCATATCTACCATGAAACATTACCTACCAATTATTTACGAATTTTGACTCAGGAGCTCAGGCAGAAGGGTAAAATTGTTCAGGAACGCAGGGCTCAAAAGTTTAATTCCGACAACCGATTATCTACAAGAATATTTAGTTAACCCTTGCTCTACGGTGAGGCGTACTATGACTTTTTTTTTTTTATCGATATTTACTAAATTCACAATCGAAATTGGAACACTGGCGTAACACAATTTTCCAAATCGAGATACTCTGATCAGGGCTCCAACGCTCCAGTAGGAAAAATGTAAAAAAAATGCAATTTTTCTTTATGTACCGCGTGTCTCCTCAGGACGTAGGCGAACATTGCTTTCCACAACTTCCTGTTCTTTGTAACTTTTAATAAATTTTGTCTTTTTGTTACTTCTCCTATACTCTGTTCCAACATCCATTTACTGAAGCTCACTAAGTTATGCGTTGTTTTTCTCTGTCCCTCTCGCCTTCAATCTGTCTTGTGAGTATCAGATTTTCCCAGCCCCCTTTCCTCATTATGTGCTCTAGAAATGTTAACTGTCTCTTCCTGATGTTTAGTATAAATTTTCTTTTTGTTTCCATTTTTTTCTAAAACTTTGTCGTTGCTCACATGTTCGTTTCATGGTATCCTCAGCATCCTCCTGTAGAACCTCACTTATTTCCCTTTAAGTCTCTTTTTCATCTGTGAAGGGATTGTCCAGCATACGCTGCTATATGGAAGGACTGACATTACGTGACAGTTCAGTACTCTTTTCTTTGTTTCATTTCTGTGTGTCTTTGGGAGAATAGATGATTAACTAACACACTAAGGCAGGCCCCTTAAACAGATTACTTATCCACGTGGTTGCCGCATTGAGCTACTAAGTAGCTAGTTAGGCGATAATTTGAAAGCGCGCTTAAATTTTGAATTGATTTTTTCTCATTCGTAGCTCGTTCGTCCATTTTTTAAAAAATATCGCCTAAGGTTGTAAGAAGCGAAGTTAAGCATTTAGTAGCGTTAGGATTTTACAAGTATCCTCCAAATTTAACAATTCTGCTTATTTGTTAACTAAACACTAGGCTCGCGGTTTAGAATCTGATCATGATTTTTTAGTCGTTACAAAAGAAAACCTTTCACGAAAGGCGATCAATACAATAAATATTTATTCTTCTTTTATGTTTAGTTTCACTTCAAGGAGTAGGCAATCATGGCTCTCCACAACTTCCTATCCTTTCGTCTCCTTATTATCCCTCCCAACTTAATTAACACAAGCTCGTTAGGTAGGTTACTCTCTGTTTCATTTTGTTCAAGATGCCTTCAATATGTCCTGTGAGTGTTAAATTTTCCTAGCCTACTTTCCTCATTATGTATCTCAGAAATCTCAGCTGTTTCTTTATGATGCTAAGTATAAGTGATCTGTTTCTTTCTGTTTTCCTTAAAACTTATTTGTTGCACACATTTGTTTCTCTAAAACTTCGTCGTTGCTCACATGTTCGGTCCAAGGTATCCTCAACATCCTCCCGTAGAGCCACACTTCTTTTGCTTTAAGCCGCCTATTCATTTCTGAAGAGATTATACCACCTATGGTATTCTCAGAATTTTCGCCTATCGCAATGAACGAGTGTTCTCAAGTAGACAACCTGCCTTGAGCGCCTCTTGGGACTTAAGTGGAACCTCAAGTGGAACTGGTACATACGATCCATAGTTAAGATGCTGATAAAAAGTTCCAGTAAGTAACTAACGACTCTTGCTATCCGCTAACTTTACAACAACCAAATCAGGTTGGGGTGCAGCTGCCATATATGAACAAGAGCCTCGATAGAGTTCAAAAATATCTCCGCGGCCTTTCGGGTGATTAATTATTTTCCACACTACAACCCCTTTCTCACGTTAGAAGCCTCTCGCTACTATATCGCTATTTCTATGGAAAGTGTTTATCGATCGACATTCCTTAGTTCCACCAGTCCTGACGGTTACAGCTAAAACCCACCATGCCACGCTATTGTCCCGAACCACCTTCATTACCTTCGTATTCCATTGGTGAGATGTGAGTTCCACTCGAACAGCTTCTTCTCACGAAGTGACTCCCATAAGGATATTTCCACGATCACTACAATTTTAACCGGTTCAAAGTTAGGGTTAACTTTTATCTTTCCCACATATCTTCATAAGCTGTACCATCTACCTCGAGTGGCTCTCGGGCCTTGTACAGGGTGAACATTATTGTAAAAATATCCTTATGTAGAATCTTATCTGTTTTATTGGATTTTACATGGAATAATAGTCAAAAAAGAAAAATACGATTATTTTCGAATTTATATTGGGGCAACAGATTAAGTCGAAGAAAATTATAATTCTTGTTTTAATGACGCACTTTTATTATTTATTTTGAGAATAAATATAAATATGAAATTTAACATTAACTACCGAATTCTGTTTCTTTTTCGTCTAGAAGTTTCGATACTTAATCTATATGTTGTGAAAAGAAGGAGAAAACTAGACATATTTATTATTATTATTATTATTATTATTATTATTATTATTATTATGCAAGTGTCAGTAACAGAATAACGTTATTATATATCAGATGTAAGTGCACTGCCAAGGATTTTACAATAGAAATCCATTGAAAATCTATAAGAAAGGTATTGTCAATGGTCACGAAATAATGCAAGTTTTACTGGCAGCTATTATATGTAAGCTGTAAATATATAAATATAGGAATGTATTGAAAACGGAGAAGAGATTGTTCGCAGTCAGGAATTAAGGCAAACGTTTCTGACAATAAAACCACTACATGCATATTCTATGTAATCCATGAATTTGCAATACGTTTCTTTTGATGATTGCACTCAAAGAAGAAAAAAGACATCATCTCTCGAGAATAGTTAAAGTGATCCCTTTCGGGGGGGGGGGATATTTTAAAGAAATATACATTAGAATCTGTTGCTGACAACCCGTTCCAAGTAATTATTTTTTGTTCTTTTATTCGTTAGTTACCAAAACAATCAGCTTTTAAAGTATAAATTTTACGTTAATCAACTTTTTAAAGGATATCTACAATAATATATGCAGTGATTCAGCCTTTAACGAATTATGTAAATCTAAAATTGAACAGCTTCTTCATTATTTTAAATTAAGAAAAAAAATTCCTCCCTAATTTCCTTAATTTCCTCAAAATGACAGTTTATTATACAACACAAGTGACTGCCACCCCAATCCCAAGAATGCTTTAAGGGAAGGCCTTTTCATTTACAAAACTTACAGTGCAGCAACGATGCAGGAGGTTTTCAAATGGTTACTCTATAGATGAGGCGGTAACTATATTAAAGTGATTCAAAATTTAACCGTGCAGATCAAAAGCGCGTGCATCTTCAAAGAAGAGTTATTATCCATGATACGCGAGGAATTAAGTTGTCTAAAAAAATAAATATGGCACAGGATTTAATAGGAATTTTATCGGGTTTCACCCGTAAATGAAAAAATTAAAACCTTTCCCCCGCCAACCCCCCCATAAAAACTATAAAAATAAATAAATATAATCTTACTATAATTATTCTATTTACTAAATCTACAGTTTTACAGTAGAATATGAAAAGGAAAGAAATGAATGAAAGAAAAAATTTTGGTATCACTTCTCCAATTTTTGAAATCCTAAACTGGACCAAAAAACCGACATCTAACACGATATGTCACTGATTCAGCTGTGAAGAAGGCCTATGGGTTTAGTAATCCTAGATTCTCAGAAAGCATTAATACATTTTCTTTTTATTATATTTCTACTCGAGTCAAATGTTGGCCAATGACACAGGAAGAAAAAAGAAACATCTTACCAATGAGGCAGGCCATTACGGATTTCCTTTTGATATAAAAAGAAAATGTCCAAAGAATTCAAAGAACTTAAGAAGGAAATGAAAAGAACGCAAGGGCCAAGAATTTTGACTCGAAGTTGTCATTCCGGCCTATCCTTTGAATTTTCAGAAAGTCCATTAATTGCGATCAATTTTTTTTCTTTATTTCTTAATCATCAATCGAACGCGGTAAAAAAAATCAAAATTTAATGATTTATTATTATTATTATTATATTTCGATTTCTGATAGGTTTACACTACCTACTAAGGTAAGGCCTAAGGCAGGTGGTGGTGTATTGTTATGGTTACATTTCATGATTTGTTTTCCAAATTCTATAACATCACTAACGTTACATGGACAAAGTTCTTAGTGTGTGGGTTCTATTTATCAAGACTTTTTGTATTTTTCTTACGCTGGGATTTCCAATTATTATTATTACTATTATTATTATTATTATTATTAAAATAAGATAGTAAAGAGTTTAGGTACCAATTTCTTTCCACAAACACACACTGTTTCTTTGTAGATTAGATGTTATACGCAGTAATCTAAGTCATGAGGCAAGTTTTAAAATTATGTGCTTGCTTAAGAAAATGGTCGGTACACAACTTAACGCTATTTTACTAACAGAAAACCAGTAGATTTACCAAATTCTTCTAGTCTCGTCTATGTATGACTGACACTTCTGTTCTCGTCTCTGTCTGTCTGCTGCTTCTAGTCTCGTCTCCGTTTGTCTGTCTCTGCTGGTCTCGTCTCTGTATGTCTGCCGCTTCTGGTCTCGTCCCCGTCTGTCTGCTTATCTATCTATCTATCTATCTATCTATCTATCTATCTATCTATCTATTCAGAGGTGGTCGCTTTACAGGACACTGTGGCGGCATCGAACAGACGATACGAGGGAATGCACCGTCTTCGTCCGGATCTTCTACTACTACTTACACAACAGGATGCTGTTATTCCAACCGGAAAACCAACAAGTGGAATTAGTTGCTCGCTCCTACTCGTTTGTGTTCACTGTATTACGTGTTCCTCCGTCCACCAGCGTCGGTTGGCCGATATCCTTGTATTTTCCTCTGAATCGTCCGCAATACTAAAAGAGACTTCCCTCAAGTCGACGTGTTTCCTGGCCTCTCGTAGTTGTGAAAATGATAAAAGTTATTAGACAATTTAGGAATTTCGCCAAGTACAAGGCTATTATCACGTATTTTTGCCTTTAGGATTGGCCGCGGTCGTCGTCTTACCGGACACGCAGTTTTTACAACGAACGACAGAGGGAAATTTCTCATCGAAAGTGATGAAAACTTTTACGTTAAATGACCATTCGGTGTGAATTTCACAAGTTAGCACATCTTTAGCACTCAGAACACACAGTTATCGTCAATATCTAATCCGACCGCTTAAATTATAGGTGGTGCCAGAAACGATGGATGTTTCCAAGTCATGTAATCAAACTTCAACTCAAATGTAACGTAATACACGCAGATCTAATTACCTGTAGGCATGGACTTCAGAAAGTTCTCATTAGCTTTCCTATTTTTCCATGTGCCAGATCCCTTCAGCATGTGGGCAACCATAACACTCCACAAGGTCCTATCCCGTGCAAGCTCATAGTAACACCTGTCTTTTTGCCATCCCTCCCATTCCACGTTCTGCCATCCATTCACATAAGTTTGTCAGGTAGGTGGTCCACTGCCCCCCCTTCTGTCCCTTTCACCTTCGATATGTCCTGTGCGTGTCAAATTTTCCAGGCACTCCTTCCTCATTATGAAATTTTACATCTCTTTCTGATTCTAAGAATTAGTGTTCGTTTTGTTTCTATTTTCCTTGGAACTTTCTCATATGTTTTGCCCTTGGCATTCTCAGCCTCTTTCATCAATGTGGCCTCAAATCACCTCTTCATCTGTGTGGAAATTGTTCAGTATTCATTGTCATATAGGAAGATTGATATGACATAACATTTCAGCACTCTTTGTTTTCCTATCTCTTAATACTTTGCTTAGTTTTTTTTGAAGGCACCTTTTGTTATTTCAATACGCAAAAAAGCTACTCTATAGCATTCCAAAATCTGAAACAAAAATACTTCTGCATTGGAAACTTCTTTAGTTAGTAACTTTGGAGCCCAAAATTGAATTTTTTCCCCTTGACATGAAAAAATTTTGACAACTGACAGTTTATCTATTGTTTGAAGACAACTTTGATGTAACATCACATAATTATGCAATCAATATTAGTGCTGGCCTGACCGCATTAAGAATTCTTGCATACTCCCTGATGTTTCGTGTTTACAACTTTCACAATATTTTAATTCCACTTAATTTTTTGACCGTACATTATTTGCCAGATTTCCCGTGTGTGTTAGCACATGTAATTACAATAATGCAGAAGCATTCAAAAGTAGTAATATATATATATATATATATATATATATATATATATATAGATAGATAGATAGATAGATAGATACTAGTGGTCAATATATATATATATATATATATATATATATATATATATATATATATATATAAGTTCCCAAGAAGATAGAATCCAGGTAGAACTCAGTGTCCATGACAGAGTAAGAATATAATATAAAAAGCTCAAACACTAATATTCCATGGTTATAATTTATTACACTGGAATCGTAATCACGATCAATTCATCAGACCTACAAATTCAAAAACATTTTTTTTGAATTTGTAGGTCTAATGATTAATTCCAATGTAATAAATTATAACCATGGAATATTAGTGTTTGAGCTTTATATATATATATATATATATATATATATATATATATATATATATATATATATATATATATATATATATATATATTTATATATATATATATATATATATATATATATATATATATATATATATATATATATATATATATATATAATTACTATAAACGTTATTTTTTAGTAGGTGCACGTGTCTGAGTTGCTCTCACTGCTTTTTTTTTTTTTTAAAAATGGAATTAATATCAACCGGCCTAGACCGAGAAGTCCTACTAGGCCGGTTGTTATTAGTTTCACTGTCTAAGAAATTAAACAAAAACGGGTCTGCAACTCAAATACGTGTCCCCACTAAAAAGAACGTTCAAAGTAATATGACATCAAGTCGGATAAAAATTGCTTTAAGCGAGAAAAACCGACATCGGAATAGATTGATCGATTTCCGATGAGTCATAACAAAATGGCCGTTGCGATATAAGCTAAAAATATGATTTAAAAATGAGTGCGGTATCCAAAAATATCGCCTCGAGCAATTTGGAGAACATGCACTCAGCAAAAAGGCAACAACTTTGAACTGGTGAGCACACACTTGCTTTGTACGAGAAAATTGAAAAGGCGAAGAACAGAAAGCAAATAAAAAAAAAAAACGAAAAATAACCGACAACAGATACTTTTCGCATCATTTGTTGTTCAATGTTTTCATTGCTGCTCTCGCAAGGTGAGCATCGTAAATTCGATATTCACTCGATATGTAAGACAACGTGTATGTATTTACGTGTATCCGCGTAAGCAAAAGTGGCGATGAAAGAAAAGAAAATCATAAGCCTTGTACGAACATTTTTTATTTCCTTTTTTTATTTCAGAAATATCTAAACCGAACTGTTCTGGGTAAGACGATAAACTACATTCGAGAGCAAGGCCTCTGATCAGGAGGTTTTGAGGAACGTGGAACCGCCTCTTAATTGCTGGTGTTCCCAGGTCCACGCTCACCCGGGATGGTAGCACTTGTCAGGGTCCCAGATATTGGCAAATAGTTAACCCCCGAACTGGGGTCAAAATGTGTAGAAATAGGTTTTAATACCAGCAATAAATTTTTGAAGAAAAAATTATCAGCAATAAATTTTTGAAGAAAGAATTATTACCAACAATACATTATTACCAGCAATACATTATTACCAGCAATACAGTTTTGGGAAAAAATATTACCAGCAACAAAAATCTTGTCGGCATTAAATAACCCATTGAAGTGTTGATATGCCGTAAAACAAACCAAGCCAAACCAAATCTAAAGCGGATGAGAACTAGTCTAAAATTAATAACAAAAATAATATCAGAATTCATGCAACTCTTTCGGTTCCAAGATGAGGAAATCGCTGTTGTCTTGAATACATTTTGCTAAGACAACAAGTTTAAATAATATTTTGAAATGAAAGACTCAAATTGACATAAGTCAAAGGAAGAATTTTAATCTGAAAATTTTTTAATGGGAAGAATTTTAATGGGAAAAATGACATGCTCGTGGTACAACGGTTGATGAATGCTTGTAGATGAAAAAGAAATAAGAAAAAGAAATAGCAAAATAAAATATTTAGTCATTACAGATTGTTGGGTGCTTTGATTAATGTCATATCATTTCTAACTAGTGAATTCACAAGTTGCTGTAAATGTATGGCTTTATGCCATGATTAACAAAAAACGACGTTCGCTCCAGCAAATTCATCTCGCGGACACTTATCACTGTCATGAGTTCGATCCTAAGTTGGAGCTTTAGGGACTAAGGCAAGTTAAAATAGGTATTTATCCATGCACCCACATCGCAAAAAGAGCATGACACAAGGTCGGAGTTTAATGAGGAATATCGGGATAGTAAAGGAAATGTTCTCTTCATTCTTTCGATATTTAACCTTTAGTACTGTGGGACATTACTGCTGTAGGGCTTTCAACGACTCCATTAAAAATATAATTCAGTTTTTAATTTTCTTGTTCTTTATTGTTTTATATTGATTTTCTTGTTTTATATTGACTTGCAGTGTCTTCTGGTTTTTATACAATAAATAAAAATGAAAAAAAAAGGTTTTATTTTGAAGAATATAGTTAAAAAGCCAGTATTAAAAATGAGAGTGTAAGTTCCAAAAATTCAAATATGTCAAAATAGCTTTCATTTTTATTTTCAATACGCTCATTTAAAACAATTTATGAACAACTGACCTCGTTCCAATTGTTTTCCTCATTCCAAACAATGAATAAGGTTACTGAGATCTTTGTATAAAGTCCTACTACAATTATTACAGTCATGGTCATGTGCTTGTAATTCGTGCAAGTGTTATGACTAAAACCAGGAACTCCTTGTAGTTACTTGACAGAGGCATTGAGAAAGCTACTTGACTAATCATGAAAATTTGGCTTCTCACTTGGAAAAACATTTAGTGGGATACTCAAAAAGCCCACGGTCCTAAAGGAAAGTTAATATCTAAAAGAATGAAGAGGACGCATATTTAATTAAATGATTGTATTCGCAGTCTGTTGATACTATTTTTTTTTTTTAAAACAAAACAAATTAACTTTAACTGATACTTTTCGTCTGAAATTTTTAACTAAAGAGATTATTATTAATGCGGACTAACATTATCATCTTGATTGTTATCACCACAGCGTTTCAGTCGTTACACTGTCTGGCCTTCTTCAGATATATCGTAGTTGGTCACGTTTTGAGTATTTCAAACCGGATCCTTTATAAGATTCACGGTGATAAAGAGACCATATAATAACATTAAATTAATAAGCTTAATAAGGCACTAAATAAATAAAATAAAAATTAAATAAAATAAAATGCAGCTTCTTAAAATTAAGTGAAAACATTCTTCATGACGATACCTGAAGCAGTATCAGTAAACATTTTTAGAACTAAGTACTTGTGTACATTTATATCAATGTACCCTATATAACTGTACATTTTCTATATCTTCTTTGCACTTTAAAACGCAGACATATCGGCACAGATTTGTTGAGTGCCAGACCCCAAGACTCAACTATTTTCCATTAATATATTGATGACAAATAAAAGAAAACAAGACAAAAGTCTTTTGTAGCGATGGCATTTGGCGCAAAAGTTTATCGGTGGGTGTTTAAGAGTACTTAAGACATTGCAGTTCTCTGCCGCATCAGAAGAGGGGACTGTACTGTTCTTGTTTGGGCGTATGCAGATGCCACCACAGGAAGAATGGCCTACTTGAAATGTGTCAATATGTGTCAGTAAGGTTAGCAGACGATCAGATGGACCAACTGCTACATGCAACGGTCGGTGATGTGTGCCACGGAGTGAATAGCTAGCAGCAGCAGCAGCAGCAGCAGCAGCAGCAGCGGTGCTATTTACAATCAGACGAGCCGAATAACCGTCACTGATTCTCGTGTATAAGGAAATCATAGCAATATAAAATATTGCACCAATTTTAGCACGAACGCAAATGCACCGCGTCGCCTCTTGAACGATTCGCATTATTTTGTGCATCTAAACCACTCTGCTACCTTCGCATACCTCAGCATATCTCGCGTGTGCATATTCACAATCGCACCCGCTTCTCTTTTTTCTCTTTTGTTCTTTATTTCTTTCTTTCTTGCTTCAATGTGTTATTTTATTTTGTGCAAAATGCATTTTTACTCAGTACCAAGATAGCAGATTGTCAAGAAAGGCAGTAAGAAGAAGGAATTGATTTCTATATCGACATTTCTTCGTTCTTTCTTCCATCCCCTCTTACTCTCTTTCAGAATTCTCCATTGTTTATACTTAGCCTAGCTTGACACAAGGCCCGTAAAATATCAGACAGAAAGCTTCTCCTAGAGCAGCTTGTTAACCATTACACCAAAGGCTCCTCCAATTCTCTTGTGAGTCGAAGGAAAATTTTCTTTTTTTTTTTACTTTTTTTATCGAGATTTATATCCCTATCCATCTCTCTCTCTCTCTCTCTTTCTCTCTGCATGCACGCATATCTTTCTCTCTGCATACTCGTATATGCCTTTCTCTCTCTCTTTCAGCACATCTCTCTCTTTCTCTCTGTGCACACCCACATATATCTTTCTCTCTCTCTTTGCATACCCATATGCATATTTCTCTCTTGCTCCCTGTGCACACCCACAAATATCTTTTATCGATCTCTCTCTCTCTCTCTCTCTGCATACCTGCATTTCTCGGTCTCTTTTTCTCTGTCTGTCTGTCTGTCTGCATACACGTATTTTTCTATCTCTCTCCCTCTCTCTACATGACCATTTTTCTCTTATTCTCTATCTCTGTGCATATTCGTATTTTCTCTCTCTTTCACTCTCTCATGTCCATATTTCCCTCTCTGAATACCCACATCTCTCTCTCCTCTCCTTTGTGCATATCCTCAATTCTCTCTCTGTCCCTTCTCGTTTATGCATCGCATTTCTCTTTCTTTCTCTCTGTGGACACACGCATTTCTCTCTCTCTCTCTATTTCTGCATACCTGTATTTCTCTCTCTCTCTCTCTCCCTCTCTCTCTCAACTCATTTGTGTATATCAGCATTTGCTTCTTTTTTCACTCTTTGTGCATACTTGTGTGGTTACCTGCATAGTAGTACGTCTCTCTCTCTCTTCTCGTGCGGTTACCTACATATCAGTACGTCTCTCTCTCTCTCTTCTTATGCGGTTACCTGCATATCAGTAGGTCTCTCTCTCTCTTCCCGTGTGGTTGCCTGCATAGCAGTACGTCTCTATCTTCCTCTTCTTGTATGGTTACCTGCATAGTAATACCTCTCTCTCTCTCTCTCTCTCTCTATCTATCTATCTATCTATCTATCGTCTTTCACAGTTACCTGCATACCAGTACCCCTGTCTCTCTTTCACTCTCTCTTCTTGTGTGGTTACTTGCATAGTAGTACGTCACTCTCTGTACAGATCTCTCTCTCTCCCTCTCTTCCTCCTGCATATATTTCTCCTCCGTTTTCTCTCTGTTTACCCCCAGGTAATATCAATTGTTTCAATTTCCTTTCATCTTTGCAATCAGTTGTAAATTTCTCTTCATTCAAAACAAGATAAAGATGAATCAAAAGTCATTAAGATTTGCCCGAATTTATGGGATAATCTGTCATTATTATTTACATGCAGACTAATATCCTCATCTCTGTTGTTAGTATCACAACATTTCCAACCTTCTACAGGTGTCTGTCGACCCGAGTAACTTTCAGGGAATTTCAATTTCTATTTTACCAAATTCATGAACCAACACTTTAATACACTAGGCTGAATTTGTCTAGCGTTGGCTCGATAATTCGGTGACAGTGTTTGTGAGTTCAATTCCTGGCCCGAGTAGACTTAGATTCAGTGGAAACAAGGCGAGAAAGAACTGGGCAGTCGTAAATAAGACGAGATATCCCTAGATATGGGCAGCGGAACGAGTAGAGATTAAATAAGGGATTTCTAAATTCCTTAAATCTTATTCTGATCGATAGACCCCTGAAGAAGGCTGCAGGGTAGAGCAGATGAAACGTTATGATGATAATAAGAAAGATGAGTGTATTAATCCGAATGTTAAAAAAAAAAATTCATTTATCTTGTTCTTTTGCAAAATGAAAATCGGAAGCCGAGACCAACGGGCCAATATCCAACCATCTTTTTTTTGTCTTTTTCAGATGATTCACTTCTTTCTGAGTTCTTCCATTTCAAAATGGCTTCTAAATATATTCAACTTTGTTTTATCTCACGAACTTTCCCCGAAATATAACCATTATTGCTTCACACTCCCAACACCTGTCATCAGAATTTTTCTTTTCAATCTTGATATTTAAATAATCCATCGGGGATACACAAGTTTAACAGAGCTTTAAAAACTGACATTTAAAAATACATATATATAAATATATACAAAAATATATAAAAAAAATGGGAGGAAGTACAAAGATAAGAAAAATAATTTACTCACTATAAAAATGGTGGATAAAAAATATAACAAAAAATAGCACAAAAAAGGCTAAGCGGTTATTGATCCTCATCCTTCAGAGACAATCGAGGACAAAAATATGTGCACAATGACTAAAACAGAGGTTAGAGAAAAGAATTACTACCAGTGAAGCATCAGTATAAATTAAAGTTATATAAATTTGAAACCCAGCAATCATTCCGTCTTTTTACAAAGGGAAGGCTGCACGAACATAATATAAATAGTTTCAATAATTCGCAGATAGTAATCTGCGTGCGCTTTGCTGATCGGATTATGTATCAAGTGTTCTGTAATAGTAGAATGGGAAGTATTCATAATCATATGCAAATTTTCACACTGTCCTCGAAGGATCAAGATATGAGAGTGAATGAATGCTTTGATGTTCTACGAGGTATTGAAAAGTTTTCGTTCCCATCCTGAAAGGATGCCAAAATAAATTCTGACGTTTGATCATTTGGTTAGATTTTAGGAAGTGGGCCAGGTTGCAAACTTTTCTCCCCTCTTCATATTGTTTCCTAAATTTTGCCAGTGTGATATAACACATTCTAGAAACAGCAAGTATTTAAATATCAACTCAGTTGGAATCGATCGATCAAAGTTTAGAA